CGAGCGACTGTTAAACCTCTGCTCCCTGTGTCTGAACCCTCCGATTATCATACAGATCCACTGAGAGAGAGACACACACAAATATAATGGTCATGCATTGCACACTTTACAGATTTAAGATCCTCTGTTGTGTAACAGATCTCATACTGGTATGAAGAGGATGCAGCCCAGCAGGGTTCCAGTAAGAGCCTCCTTCACGATCTCCTGCAGGCACTTATTCCCCTGGTGATGACCTCTGAGCAACGCTGTGATGTAAAAGGTCAACTCTGTGATGGAGCCGAACGTAGCGTTCACCACGGCCCTGACATCAAAGTTACTCTGAGCGGAAATACTGAGAATAGAGATGACAACAGTGTTGCTGTCAAAAGTGTTTGTGAGGTTCTGGTGTTGTTCTGGTGTAACTGCTCACCTTGCAATGCCCATGCCGATGTAATACGAGAGAGGAATGATGGAGCTGACTGCTGAGGCAAACTTGACTTCAAAGCTGACAAACTGGTTTGATTTGTCCACGTAACCAATCACTAGTGACACTATAACTAATGGTAAGAGATCTACAGTGACTCCATATAAGGAAAATGACAAAAATACAATTTTACAATTGTAATGACAGAAAACATGTCACAAACGAAACCTAATGTGAAAGTATTCTTTTAATGTATTTTAAAGTATTCTTTTGAATATCTGGACTGTACCAGTCCACCAAGAGGCCACAAAAAACAAATTGAAATAAGTTTATTAAAATGATCTAACTTAATTAAAATGTTAATTAAGTTTGGGATAAGTAAGTTTTAAAAAATTACCAAAAACTGCTTAATAAATAAATACTTAAATTCAGCAAGGATGCATAAAAAATTATCAAATGTGACAATAAAGACATGTATAATGTTGCAAACGATTTATTATATAAATTCCTACTCCTCACCCAGTAGTGGTCATCCTGTGGACTTCCTGTGGCCTCTTCTATGGTCTCCTCCACAGGTGTTGGCAGCAGGAGAGGAGAGGAAGGCTTTCTGTCCTCATCTGCCTCCGGAGTGGAATTATCTTGGAGGATCTTCACACTGAACACTGGCACAGAGACACTGGCCTGAAAACGGCAACATCTTGTTCAATACCCTTCCAAAAGCATCCATGAACAGGCATGTGATTAAAGCAGTATTTGCCTGATTTTCACGGAGCAGGCAAATGAAAACCAGTTCAAAGGGACATTACGTGATACAAGACTGATACAAATATAATTTTTCATATCAGAATTTGGATATGAAAAGAAACACAACCTTTTACATCAATTTTCCATATGGCCATAGAAAATAGCAGGACAACCTCCAACAGAGTTTCGCTGAAATAAAACAGTGGCACATTTGTGATCCAGAGAGAGATACTAAAATGTATCAGTACTTATTTAGACAAATTCTTACCATAAGGGATGCCAAAAACTGTGAGGAACATTAGGAGTCCAGCGAAAACATAAACCAGAGAGATCCACCAGCCGAAGAGAAACACGTAGAGAACGTTGCCACAAGCGATCAATGAACCTTCTGAAACCCGAGAATAAAAGACACTGATATTATTACAGTAAAGGGGAACAAATTAATGCAATGCCATTTTTCTATTGATTGGATTTCCTTTATTTTTGTACAATAAAACATCACCATAATAATGCAGTACAACATTATCTAGATTTATTCTTAAATAAAAAAATAACAATTAATTTGTTTGATTGCAATATACAGTACCAGCATGAAATAGTTTGAAAGTAAGAAGTTTTGATTCATTATTAATAACAATTATATGATTAAAAAAATGTATATTGAATAAATAAATGAATGTAATTAATAATTGTTAATAGTTAATAATTAAAATATTATAATACTTCCATTTATGTTATTTCATAGTTTAACTACTTTATTCTCCACATTTTCAAATAATAGTAATAAAAAATGAGTAGGCGTGTACAGACATTTGACTGATTCTATACATGTACTACAGAAGGAAATTAGATAAGTTTGGTCTAACCTGAGTAGGGTTTAATAACGTTCAGCTCAGAGTATAGCTCCTTCACAATGTCCGACCTGTCCTGAAAGGGACGCTCTGTCACATGACTCTTCCACTTCCAGAATCCAAACTTAAATAAAGAGAAAGGAACAACATCAGCATCAACAATACGCAAAATGAAACTGGACATATGTGCTCAGCGCACATTTACCTTATAATTATTTGCGAATTTTTGGGCCTCTACTTCATTTTCAGCACTTATGGTGGTCTTGCACGGGTTCTCATCCCATTTTCTTCACCAAAGCCGCATGCTGTTAAGAAGCTGGAAGTAAGGACAAAAAAGGGGTAGTAACATCAAAACAAGCACAGAAAAAAAACACCCTTGATTTTATGCAAAGTGCATGGGGTCTCACTTTTCTGTGTGTGTTTTGGTGTGTAGGCAAACAGGAGTGAGTGTGAACATCACCGGCTTCTGCGTGAACGTGAGCTACACAAACCCTGTCACAACATGAACCAGGCTGATGAACCCCATCATGGTCCTCTGGAGAATCTGACAATGAGATGAAATCATGGTTTATTTTTAAGCATTCAATTTGGTTTTATCTAAATAATCGTATTTTCAAAATATATTCATTCGAGTTCCTTAGAATCGGCACCATATATCTGTTAATTGTGAGGGGAAAAACACGTTAACATTAATTTAATGTTAAAAACAAAAAACGTTAATTGCAAATGAAACAATCATGAACATGGTTCAAATATGGCTTACATGTAATAAATTGAATTTAATTATAAATATCTCAACCTAGTTACTGTGTATTAGATACATACACATTGGTTTATTAGTAGTTACATAACTGTAATTTTTATGTTTCATTTATGTGTTACTGACAAATATGCATCATGTGAAGTATAATAGTTTATGTTAAAACTGTAATCCAAACAAATGGAAATTGTATATGCAATTACATAAATCTTAAACATTAGGCCTTATTAATTTGAAACGTACACTTCTTTTTTGTTAAATGTTTTTCTTGTTTGTGCTTTATTTCTTTGTAATAAATGCCACTTGGATTTATATTTTATGTAATGCAATTATATGAATACACTTTTAAGTGTGACAAACAAAATATAAACAATCAAATCTACAGTATTTTCAATAACTGTTACGCATAATTTAAATGCATTTTGCGTCTCAACATTAACACGTTTTAATTCAGATCTAGCCAAAGATATTAAATCTGGCGACAGGAAATTCTTGAATAGTAACTGGGGAAGTGTGGACTGATGCGGTCTCACAGCTTCAGAACAATTTCACAACAGAAACTTGACTGACTGCAAATTCATTAGAAGAAATCATTTAGAGAGATCCTGATTCATTTATATCCAGGATAAATCACAATACACGTTATAAAAATCCATGAATGTGAAATACAACAGACAGTCATTCATGTCACGTGAATTTATGATCATATTACATCCATTGTTGCATATCAAAAGTCCGAAGTAATTGGAACAAAGGTGTAACTGTCTGTTGTAATAAAATAACGCACTGCATTGTTGACAATACAAGCCAGTGGATTCTTTTTAGTGGTCGACCGATATTGGTTTTTTGACAATCGATGCCGATATCTTGGAAAGCCGAGTGGCCGATATAATTGTATTTATTTTCATTAATATTTAAGAAATTTGAAATAATTTGAAAATGGATTAAAAAATAAATTAGTCAAATAAACATACTTATACTTTAGATGACAAATATTTTTTTACAAATAAATACATATTTAATAAAAAGTAAACTGTAACCAACAGAGCACTCAGTATTCTGGGAAGTTTGTGTGCATTGGGAATCATATTTTTTCAAATAAAGCCAAGGTAACACTCATTTTACATACAGCACACAGTGAAAATGACATGAATATGACAGTGGGCAAAAGCATGAAGCGCAGCATAATTTGAAATCACAAATTTTATGTTTAAAGCATTCAAGTTGCACGGACCGAAAGTCACACAGAGAACACGCGATCGTGCAGGTCACATGCACACTTCACAATATCTCACAACTGGATTCGACTAAGTTTGCAAGGTTTGTGAAATTAAATTTTCACTAGCCATTCAAAGATTTGTTTAAATTATGTAAATGCATATTTGTTGAATGCTGACAGCAAACGAGAAAGTATTATAATGTTTGCCTATCTATTACTAATAATATAAAAGCAATCGTTATAATACTTTTTAATTTTAGAATACATTTTAATTCCTTTGTTTAACAGTTCTATCAGATTATTACAGACTTCTATCCGTATTAGACAGAACTGTTAACGACGGCAGCGAACAAGAGGGAGAATGCCAGTACTGTGTGTTTAGGCACTGCCGTTCTCAGCGCCGTCAAAATAAAAGTCCCGTATCGAACGCATTGGCCAAACAGAAAAACTTATCGGCTGAGGCCGATATTTGAAAAATGCCAAATATCGGCCGATATATCGGTTGACCACTAATTTTTTTACTCCTTCAGTTTTCATACAATGGCCTTACTTTGTATTATTGTTTACCTTGCTTGTCTGAGTCGAGTTTTCTTCTTCGCGGCTCTACATTCGTTGCACTTCAGTCTCGAATGACAGACAGTTCTACAGTAATCAGCCTCACGTGACTCAAGCGCACTTACGCCGAGCCACCGTGTTGCCAGATCGCGCTAAATATGTGAAATATATGTCCCCACTAAAAAAGGTAAAATGAGGCACTTCTGTTTCTGGCGATTTTCAGAATGCGTCATACTTTCTTATGCTATGGTATAAAATAAAAGCTAAAAACGCAGTATTAAGTCGCTTATAATAAGCGGACATGGCAACCCCGTGCGAATCGCTAAGGTAAACTCACTGGCTGAACGTTTTCATTCAAAACTAATTTTAAGAGTCCTCACGACACAAATTCAATAAACAAAGGTTATTAAAATTTTTATATTTATTTTTAAAGAACTTCCACAAACCTGACATAAAAGCCAGAAAGCATTCCAAAATGAAATCATAGCAAATAATTATAACATAAAACAATATTTCTTAAATAATGCATCGCTGGCCATGTCGATATCATCAAACATCAGAAAACAGTCAAAAGTACAATCAATGCACACATTCTGTAAAAATAAGGTTCCTGGGTCATTACTACATCAGCATAGCCTGAATAACTTTTTTTAGTAGTAAACTTCACTTGCATTATGCAGCACTGAAGCAACCCTTATTTTTCAAGGCATTAAGATTTCTAAACACATGCTGAGATGTTACAAGAGTCCTTTCCACCACTAGTCTGGATATCCAAAGCACTTAGTGTGGTCAGAAAAATATCTGCACTCACTTGGCAAGAAAATATTTGGCAGTGAAGATGTTCTCAAAGGTTCTCAAACGAGGTCTGTGGTGTTCACAAATGTCTATTATATGAATATAAATCGCCCAAAATGCCTGAGGGAGTCATTTCTTGTCCATTTTCCAACATTTTGAGTGGATACCAATGACCTACCAAGTGGACCACCTGCTACCAGTAGATATCAACACTGTTCCAGCAAGGATTTAAAGCTACAGCAGGTTGTTAGTGCAGAGCTCTAATGTTTAAGTAGGTAAACAAGCTTCTACACATTGAAGAACGGGTTTATTTGGTAAAAAATGTTCTGTAAGCGGTTATGTGAAGAGTCTGGCCACCTGTGACTTCACCTCCTCATCTGGATGGGACAGCAGCAGGGGCAGTTTACGGTGCAGCTGAGAGGAGCTGTCCAGTAGAACACAGTACAGAGAGTCCTGCCTCCTCCTCAGAGCTTCAGCCACCTGTGAAGAGGGTCTCCACGCACGCAGATTCCCCACAAAAATCAACAGGCGGAGAAGAACAGACGTGCTTGTGCAGCCATCAAACAACAAAATCAGGGACGCTGGAGCCTGTGAACAGATTTACAAGTAAATGGAGGAGCTTGTGCCAATATATAACAGCTCTTAAAACTAAGAGAAGAACTAAATTATGGCTGCGTGATGAATCAAAATATAACCAGAATCGCAACATGGCTTAGTATGATTATCAAATAACAAAGATTGTGATTTAAATAAATATAATATAATATATATATATATATATATATATATATCAGTTTTTGAGAGCGCTAGCTGCAGTTTACCACCAAAATAAATAAAATTATGATGGCCATAATTTGTAAGGCTTCACAACTTTGCCAAAACATTTTATATCAGCATATAAAAATTGTGTATCAGAATAAAAACTAATTTTTATTTCACAGTGAAATATTACAATATATTATTATTATTATTACAATAATAATACAATATATTACTTAATTAAAATAACATTTATAATAATTAAAGATGAATTAATAATAATAATAGCAATAATAATAATAATAAATGATTTTATTTTACTTTATTTTCATGTTGACATAATTATTATTAAATAAAATAAGACACAAAATAAATATTATTACTAATAATAAATATTACTTTATTAAATAAAATAATAGACAAAATAAGAAACATTACTATTACAATATTTTACTGTGAAATAAAGCAAATTAGTATGTAGGAGAATATAATAATATTGATAATCATAATGTGAATTTATTTAATTTAAATGTTGATATACAAATTCAACTGCAACTTTTATCTGAAGAAAAATCACAATAATATTCTTTCCTCAAATCGTGCAGCACTAAACTAAATCATGATGACCACAGAGTGGCCTAAAAATAGACATAAGCATCAACAGCAGGCAATGAGAAAAACTAGGACACATAGCAACCAAGGCGATTATTTATAGATTGATCTATTTATAATCATATTGTGTTGGTATGACAGAATAGTCACTGAAACCAGCTGCACTGGATCTCACTTACAAAACAGTGAAACCATTACAGCAGAACCCATAAAAGACATGCTTGTTCACCTGAGCTTGCACAATATCGTCCATCAGATCTGGATTGGAGGAAATATTTACTAGGACCTTCAAGACTTGGATCTGCAGGAACAGATTAAATCTTCAATACATCTGATTGTGTAAACATATCATTCAATACATTACTCAAAAATCACCTGTAGGACTTCATTGCTCACTACGAGTAGTGATAGGAGGAGGGTGATGGAATTCTTCATCAGATGCTGGTGATTATCCGTGACTGACAGATTAGTGAGCAATCTGAGCGCTGCCAGCTGAAGGTCAGAGTTCACCGGTGACATCTCAATCATCTGCATCACCGACGGGACATATATCTGACCAACAACAACAGAAACCACACTGTAAGCATAGTATCCATGGGAGAGCGAAAGAAAAACATATTCAAAATGGTGTTCTTTTAGTACTATTTATATATTATTATAGTATTTATTCATATTTTGAATTAGCTTTTTTACATTTTAAATTTTTATTTTAGTTTGTTTCAGTCACTTTATGTGCTTTTGTCATTTTTGTTTTATTTCTATAGTTTCATTTTAATTTCAGCTTTAGTAATTTTAGTAATTTAACTTATACTCATTGATTAAAGTTAATCGCCAAGGCAGCATTTCTCATTTTCATTCAAAGTTTTTCCATTTAATTTTTTCCATCTTAATAAATACCTTCAGCTGCTCTTGATTGCGGATATTCATGCTTAAGTTGTTCAGAGCGTTTAGAGTCTGAGCGCGAATCTCAGGTGAAGGGTCTGAGAGGAAGCCTGCTATGATGTGAAGACCTCCAAATTCTCGCAGAAGATCCTAATGAAGAAAAGCAAAAACTGATTTGAAATATGATGCATCATCTGCATCTGTTTACTCTTCTGCAAGTCTAAAAAGTATGTCTAAAAGACAGAACATCAGATGACCTGGTTTACTGTGAAGGCAGCTGCATTTCCTAAAGTTACGAGAACTTTCTTCCTCTCTTCTGGGTTTGGGCTGCTCTGCAGAAGGGAGAGAAGCATACTTAGATGTCGAGGCTCCAGGCTGGCAGCAGATTTTGAGAAAATAACACCTTATGAGAAGACAAAAACACAAAGAAAGGTTTGTATGAAGGAGACATCTACTTCAGTTTCTAAATCAAGAACCTAGGACAATAAAATGAAGTTGACACACTGCCTATATTTACTCACTGTAATGTATTGATTGAAAACCAACCCCTTCAAACTTACACAGAGCTGTCAGTAAGCAAGACTTTATATAACACAGCCAACCATTTGAATGTCACTTACTAGATTCAGTATCCGCAGTAGGATCCAGATGATCACTCTTACTGACAACTTTAAATCCAGACACTTTGGCCATCAAGCTTCCGGGCTGAATAGTCACACTTTTAGCACACTTTTTTCTGTTTACTCCTGCATCTCCTGCGCGACCAAAGATTAGTTTATAAATGCCATATGAGGCTCCGGCTCCTGCTACAATCCCCAGCAGAGCCTTCATGCTGCCGAGGCGGGCTACGACATTGTCCTCTCCCATTCTGCGATAGGCGCAGATTTCATAGATACATGTTAACACATGGTCCGTGTCCGGCAGGATAAATACAGATACAAACCGTTCTTGATTATCATAACCGTCACTGACTGTTTCCTCTGCTCTGCACGTTGCCGCCTATTGCATCAGTGGACGACCAAAACATTTCGCAGAGTTAACTGTTGCTTGCGGCGTTGAGCGTTCATGAACGATTTTGTGTTTTTTAACAAATTAAATTTCTATCATTATTGAATAAATAAAACAATACACATGTGATTTACAAATATTGTTTATTTAAAATCCATCTATCCTTCTATCTATCCATACACACAGTCTACAGCTACATACAGTGTTTTTTTATATTATATATATATATTTTTATATATTATATTATTTTATATTAATTCCTCCTGTGATTTCTCCTGACCAACCACATGCTTAGGTTACAAAGCGACATGAAGTGTAAATATTGACAGAAGCTGCAGGTGAATCATATTTTTGTTGCATTGACTTCACCTGGAGTCATCGTTTTTATGATGACTTCTTTGCAAGATTCAGATCCAATTATACGAGACTACATGATTAAACAGTCACTTCCTCAGATTTACAAGGTGAATTACATAACATGCTATCCAATGATCTAATTACTTCATGAATAATCCATTTAAGGAAATATGTAACTGTAAGCAGAGTTAGGCTACATATTGTTAACAAAATATTGTAAATGTTAAATATTTTGTGAAATAAATGCCATTTAGAGGATTTTTTAATTTAGATGACTTAATGCTACATTTGAAAGATTATGTATTTATTTATTTTGCATTTCAACCAGGCTTTACTTGCTGGGTTATGCATCTCATGCCTGAAGATCCTTTGCACTTTATAGAGGAGAAGATCCTATCTATCCTTGAGGATCATGATTTTGAGATCTGCTGGTATGTGTGCTTCTGTTTAATGCTTGACATGTACGGCTCTCTAATGTAAAATCAAGCAGTAAAATGGTTTTAATACATAACATCTCTAAGATGTAAACCGTTTCTGAATTCAGGCACACATTTATTGACAAAGACAAACAAATCTCCTCATTGGCAGGAGGCATTGTGTATGATATATTTGGAAACCCAGAAGACATCCTGGTAAACTCTCTTAAGTATTTTCTTCATTCAGAGTGAATGAGGGTTGTGTCGTCAAACCTCCATCTGCTTAAACTCATTTATTAATTTCCCCTCTCACAGTGTCTGTCACATTTGATGGAGAAAGCGTACTTCTGTTATCGCACCAGCCAAACCAAAATGTGTTTCACGTGAGTGTCAAAACTAGTGTAGTATCAAAGAGTCACACAACAGCAAACAAAACCTGCTTTAGCTACAAAAACATTGGGCCTGTATGTCAACTAGCTTTATGACTGATGTTTTATGTTAAGTGGTTGGAAGAGTTATATTTCAAAGAAGAAACTGAAGGCTGCCAGACACCTAGAGAGAATGGAAGAGACTGAGATGTATCACAAACAGAGACGGATAAAACTGGCTTTCACCAAGTGGACAGCGTGCGTTCAGTTTCGCAAACAGAGGCAGAATGGTATTTAGCTATTATGATTTATTACATCAGGGAATATTAGGGTTACATGTAATTCAAAGTTGGAGTATTTAGAAAATCCAGCTATTCAATTTATTTAAACACTTTTTTGTTTTCTATTAATATGCATCAATAGAATATGCAGTTATGTCTGTCCTAAACTACTTACACTGTCCAAAGATGTGCTGATATTAACATTCCCATGAACGGTCTGAAGTCCAGTGACATTTCCTCCTGTGGACTGAACTTGAACCTCATGACCCTAAACAAAATCACAGTTAAACACAAGATAATAATACATATTATCGCAAAATAAACTAAATACATTTAGGCCTTTATGACATATTAAATCAGGGGTTTTCAATCTTTTAGATACCACAGAACCTTGAGCATCCTAAAATTTAAAGACAACTATATATTTATACTTTTACAAATTATAAATGTGTAAAATATTTATAAAATGTTTTTATTGCGCCACTTACTATAGTAATGTTTAGTAATGTATATTCATTATTCAAGAATATTTTATTTTTTATTTTAATTAATTGATTCTTTTTATTTACTTTTTAGCTTTTTTTTTTTTTTAATTGACTGCCTAATACTCCTTTGCAGTCCCTAGGGGCCCTAGTTTGAAAACCCCTGCATTAAATGATTAAAATGCGAATGCGACACCTTGACAGACTTTAGGACACAGTGCCCTCCCTCTGTGTGAACATGGCAGAGATCACTCTCCATTTTCTGGATCTTCACATTGCCTTTGTCTTTAGTCTTGATGTGGAGATCTGGAGGAACGGACAGGGACTAAAAGGACGCACATGTATTCCTATGAATTTAAGTATATTTATTCAATACATTACCTAAACTTACTCTAAGTAGAGTTTACCAAGTAAAAGCCATTCATTTAAAAATATTATAATTGCATAATATTAATAAAGTAAACTATCAATAATATATTAATTGATAAGATAAAATATAATATAAATATGATTTATTAGTACCTTTACAAGCCAGAATACAGATCCTTACCACATTTGATAGGTGCTGTCAGTTCAACAGTGACATTGCTATCCACCTCATCGCCCAAAATCTTAAGTGCATTGCTTTGATCATCATAATGAACATGAAACCCGTCCACATTAGCAGTTTGATTCGCATCTGTCACGTGCACACTAATAAACGCCCGATCAGCCTCAGGAAAAGCATGTGGATCCAGTGATTTTCTGGATATATATTACAGCCTAAATGACATTTGACATTTGTGAAAGGATTAACTAATAATTCCCATTGCTTTACAGTTTTTTTCAAGTCTTTAGGAGTTGCAGGAGCATCTGAAAAGCTCGGAGAGCCTGAGAGCTCAAAGCCCTGCTGAAGAGTCTTGAACATCTCTGCACTGAACCCACACACACACCGTGACATAACCACTGTGTAACTGCACAAGTAAACATGACTAAAGCTTCACTTATTGAGAACTAAGACTAAACTACATAAGTACGCCTTAGAACAAAATGCTAAAGGCTACTTGCAATAGTAAACGCTGTATAGATAGAAATGTTTACGACACCAGGGCAGTGCACAGCAACGACAGCAAACCGGAACAGGTTCAGAGCGCGAGTGGAATTATGGGAAGTGTAGTTCATCAACCGTAAAATGAAGTCCACTCCGTGATACTGATTGTGACCAAAGAGTATAGTCTTCTATATGGTTTTGGTCATTAAAGGTAGTTGTTATCACTGAAAGGATTAACTAATAATTCCCATTGCTTTACAGTTTTTTTCAAGTCTTTAGGAGTTGCAGGAGCATCTGAAAAGCTCGGAGAGCCTGAGAGCTCAAAGCCCTGCTGAAGAGTCTTGAACATCTCTGCACTGAACCCACACACACACCGTGACATAACCGCTGTGTAACTGCACAAGTAAACATGACTAAAGCTTCACTTATTGAGAACTAAGACTAAACTACATAAGTACGCCTTAGAACAAAATGCTAAAGGCTACTTGCAATAGTAAACGCTGTATAGATAGAAATGTTTACGACACCAGGGCAGTGCACAGCAACGACAGCAAACCGGAACAGGTTCAGAGCGCGAGTGGAATTATGGGAAGTGTAGTTCATCAACCGTAAAATGAAGTCCACTCCGTGATACTGATTGTGACCAAAGAGTATAGTCTTCTATATGGTTTTGGTCATTAAAGGTAGTTGTTATCACGCTGATATGTTCAATTGTTCGTTTTTGTGATAAGTTTGATTTTAGCTAGTAATTTAATGCTATAGAAACGGGCGTGCTGTTACGGTTGATTGGGTCTGCGGGAGTTTGATACCGCGGCTCCACCTCGCGACACTACTGCGCAGACTCTGGCTCCAAATGCCGTCATTTACTCAAGATGGCAGCGGCCATACTGAGATGCTTTGGCTTCACTTTTTGGAAGGAATAGGAGATGCGTCGTCCATCTTTTTTTTACAGTCTATGATTGTGACAAGATATCAATCATCTTTAAATAAAGTGTGATTGTCCTCTGAATGATCCAAGAAGGATAAAATTACGATTTTCAAAAATATTCTAAAAATAAGCATTAATATGCTAAGAAAAGAAGAAGACAAATTTAAAATTACAAAAAAAGGCATATGTGGCTTAATTTGAATAATAGGCAATAATATCAATAAAAACAACAACAATAATACACTGATATAAAATTGGAGTTAACATTTTACGGCTCTATAATTAATTTGATGACCCAACTAGTAAATATATTTACATTTTTAGTTGCTTTTAGTTTTTAGTTTACTTTAGACTTAATTTTGTTTTCATAATGTCTGAAAAGTATGAACTTTTATTTTAGCGAGACAATACTATTGTGTGCCTCATTTGTTTGTTACTTTGGATAAAAGCGTCTGCTAAATGACTAAATGTAAATGTAAATGTGTTGCAAACTTTCCACTGACAGATATTTTCTATAGCCTGCCCTACTACACCAACTCTGTCTAAAAAGAGTTGAAAAGCTCATTCTGATTCTGATTCTGAAAATGTAACCCTCACAGAACCTTTTTACTTTTTACATTTTTTATATTTGTGCAACTAGGCTGTTCATTGTTTATTAGGCCTGTTTCTTATGTGAACTATTGTGTGGTGCCCAAAACAAAATTAGAAGCTGTTTTCACGTACTATATTTGTGTGGACATTTGGTCCCCAAAATACAGGCAAAACGTGACCCAACCTGTTTTATTAATATTGAGGGGTAGTAGCACTAGAGAGGGAATGTACTACTATGTTGTAAGTGGCTCATAACTGTCATGTCAGCATGACTTTAAACTCTCAGTGCTGGTCGTTTTGGAGCCGAGACAGGACGTCATACTGGGGCGGATTTTCCGTCTGTTTTTGTAATACCCGCGAGCGATATTATTCCTGAAACTACCTCACTGCTTGTGTAACTTGTCTTAATTCCTTCAATGAAGGCCCAAGGTAATGTATTTTTACGGAAAGTGATTCATAATCCTGAAACAATAGGCCACAGTCAAAAAGTAGCTGCTCTCCTGGCCAGCTATTATATTTACACACATGAACGCTATAACTCGTCCAGTAGGTGGCACTCTAGTCATTCCACATAAAGCGAGGTCACAGGTTTACAATAGCGCCTTTTGAAACAAATAACAGTCATATCCTCCTCCACATTAGCTTATGAATTAGTGTTGAGTTATGAGGACGGATTTAGTATTTGTCCTCAAGTTAGGACAGCCAAGTTCAGAATCTAATAAAGCTACAGTAAGGCTACACATGGTTTTTGCATTGCAGGTCTACTTTTTGAATACATTTAATGCATGTTAGCCAAATTGTTCTTAAGTGAGGTATAGCCATGCTGTAATACTCATCAACACTTTGCAGACTAGTAAAAAGTGTTCATATCTATGAGAGGATGTTTATTGTATGTGGTATCTGTGAATCATAATATGTAATTCATTTAGCTGCACTACTCTTTCAGACAGGTAGTGTTACGCTTCTTTTCGAAAAGAGACCATAAGAGGAAATTAAAAAGCCTGTCTAGACACCAGCGGTTGAGGGTCGAGTCAAGAGCATGGAGGGTAATCAGAAGGTCATGGTCAAAGTTCAAGCAGAGCCGATGAAATGGAGACTTCAGAGAGGACAACATTTGCTAGATACAGCACAAAGAGAGTTCATTCGTATATGACACACATAATAAAAATTTATTATCATGACTGGAACGACAGAAATATTGTCATTTGTACCATTTCTGAGTTGGATCTCCATATAGAAATCTTAAGAAGACAGTCTTGACAGGTTTAAAGAAAAGAAAGGTTTTCATAAATGGTGAAACCTAAACCGTGATATAAAACAAATCAAGATTCAGCCTGTTTTTTTTTATCATTTGTAACAACACTAGAACTTCACTCACATAGGGATAAAATGAAATGTTGATTGACCTTATTTAACTGTTATACCAAACTGTCTATACTGTGTTCATAGGCTATATATACATGTATAACAGCAAGTCAGACAATAAGGATAGAGAGACAAATAATTTACATCATACAGTAGTCCGTTATGGCAAGTCACATTCATAGTCATCTTCACTACATAGAAACATACAGGCCCACACTGAATCTGCGTCTGCTGTTCACAAAGTCTCACACATTCTTTCTCTCTCTCTATATAGTATATTTTGTGTGTGCATATGCAGAATTACATATATATGCATGTGTGTGTATTAGGGCTGCACAATTATGACAAAAAATCATAATAGCCGATTATTGCCTTGAAATTGTAATTGCGATTATTAATTACGATTATCACAATTTACATTGAATGATGTTTATACCATTGTTTGATGCAACTGCATGGTGTATTTTTATATGAAAATAAACAAGCTGAAAACACTCTAACTGAAAAACTTTTAGTGCTTTTCTATAGTATTAAGCCTCAAATGTCAACTATACTTCGGATTGGTTTCTTCTTTTAATTATAAAAAAAGTATTTTAAAAGTAAAAATATAAATGGTATAATAGACATACAGGCCCACACTGAATCTGCGTCTGCTGTTCACAAAGTCTCACACATTCTTTCTCTCTCTCTATATAGTATATTTTGTGTGTGCATATGCAGAATTACATATATATGCATGTGTGTGTATTAGGGCTGCACAATTATGACAAAAAATCATAATAGCCAATTATTGCCTTGAAATTGTAATTGCGATTATTAATTACGATTATCACAATTTACATTGAATGATGTTTATACCATTGTTTGATGCAACTGCATGGTGTATTTTTATATGAAAATAAACAAGCTGAAAACACTCTAACTGAAAAACTTTTAGTGCTTTTCTATAGTATTAAGCCTCAAATGTCAACTATACTTCGGATTGGTTTCTTCTTTTAATTATAAAAAAAGTATTTTAAAAGTAAAAATATAAATGGTATAATAGTGTTATACTAAAACTAAAATTAAAACAATGGAAAAACCCTTAAGATAACATGTAGAAAGAAAAAAAAACATAAGTGAACTTTTAACGATTAATTGCCGCTTTCAACGATTACGTAATTGAGGCATCCATAATTGTAATCATGATTAGAAATACAATTAATTGTGCAGCCCTAGTGTGTAAGTGTGTGTATATATACAGTGGGTACGGAAAGTATTCAGACCCCCTTAAATTTTTCACTCTTTGTTATATTGCAGCCATTTGCTAAAATCATTTAAGTTCATTTTTTTTCCTCATTAATGTACACACATATATAAATTGTAAATGTATAAACACGTACATTCAATCTATCTATCTATCTATGTGCAAATATATACTTTTAATAATTAAAATGTTAAATTTAAAAAGCATATATTTATAATATCTCTATAGATATATGCATGTGTAGCCTATGCACTCAATCAGTTGTGAAAATGTGAAAAAGCTGTGCAGATTCCATGTGAACCTTGCAGTATGTTCACCTTGACACTAAACTTAAGCAGATTATATAAAAATATAGAACTACAGAAGAAATCTTGTCAGAAAGATTCAAATGCCAGGACAGAAAACAATCATCTGAACACAAGTAAACAAAACAGAATCAGATCATTCATATCGGTCTGAATCAGACGTATAGGCCTCACAAGAACATTGACAGATTCGAAGTTCCTCAAAACATCATCAAACATCACGCGAGTCCAGTGTTCTCCTGAAAACTTCATTATGCTGCGCTCAGTTCATAGTATGAAGGCATGCACAATGCTTTATTACACTTTTCACAGAAAATAAATGGGTCAACGTACAGTATGCTCAGGTAACGTTGGAGAACACAAGTTGAGACATCTTGAAGTTGTTTGAAAGCATCTGCCAATAGCATGAATGAATCAGATGGTCACAAACTGCAAGAATCATCAAAATGCAACCCTACAGATGAAATGTTAATGGGATGCCAACGGCAGTGGAGTCACAATCTCTGTCCCAGGAGATCAGGACCATCTTATGCTCGACTGGAGAACCTTAACTCCACAGGTCAAGGCTCATCATAATCTATTTACAGCGATTAAGGGAGTGTCTGTGTCTTTTTAGTCTTTCACAGTGTCCTTGGGCCGCTTTCTTCCTCCTTTAATGATAAAAGCCACCCCTGGCAGCCAGTCCAGTGTCTTTCATGAACAGCAATGGCTTTTTTGTTGTTCTCCTGTCTCTCCCTCCCTCTGTTTGGTGTCTTTGTCTCTCAGGTGCAGCAGTCACGGTTCAGGTTACTCTGAGAGGAGATGAGAGAGGGGTAGGGCGTCATCTTATCGATGTTGACGTAGGTGGTGTTAAGGAGGATGTAGTGCTCGCCGCTGAAGCTGGAGAAGATGGCAGCGATGCGGGACACGAGCTCTGAGAAGGTGGGCCGGCGTTCGGGTTTAGGGTGCCAACACTCAATCATGACATTATATCTACAAAGAAAAGAGAAAAACGTAAGGAAAATCTAAATTCTTAAAGGGGTCATATGATGCGATTTCAAGTTTTCCTTTCTCTTTGGAGTGCTTGTGCGCGTGCGCGTGTGTGTGAGAGAGAGACAGGGTCACATCACAGTGGAGTCAGCTGTCTTAACCGTGGCTTGTGTACTGCAAACACATACCAGCTTCATCACTGTGTCTGTCACGCGACTCTGTTCCCCTTTCGGGCTCTGTCTTTACATTTATTTTGAAAGATGAAGCTCGCGATTATGGTAAGGGGTACATTTCCATTTGTTCGGCCAATCACAATGCACTGGGTCAGCTGGCCAATCAGAGCAGACTGCGCTTGTCAAAGGAGGGGGCTTTGTAGAAAACTAAGCGTTTGAGAGAGGCGGGGCATAGAGGACCTACAATAATGTACAGTATTTGAAAAATAATGTGTTTTTTGAACATTAAAGCATGTCAACATATTCTGTTACACCAAATACACAAAATAATGATCTTTAAAAAAGGATCATATGACCCCTTTAATAAAAGTTCTTGGCCTTATTGTGCAGGATTCATCTGCACACATTTTTCTAAGCAAAAAAAGTTTTCAAATGGCATTAATTATTTAATGTTCATGGCATTAATAGAAGCAAAATACTTTAACATTAGGGGTTCATTTATACAATTAGCAAACATCATTAATAATGTTACAGCCCACTTTGCACAATCTAATCAAATCCCACTAGATATAATGAAGACCCACCCTGCATTAATATAAACAGAATTCTCTTTGTTTCAATTTAAAAGGTGCATTTAAAAATGAGTTAAATATATATATTCTTTCATCGTTACATTTAACTAATATTTTAAACATGAATTAAATAGTTTTTAAATGTCTTTATTTGGCAATTAGATTTTTTTCATTTTACTGGTACATTTAGCTTTATTTTTAAACGAAATAAAAACAATATTGTTCAAAAGTCTGAAGTCAGCAGAGATTTTTTTATATTTTTGAAAGAAGTCTCTTATGCTCACCAAGGCTGCATTTATTTGATCAAAAATACAGTAAAAACAGTAATATCGTGAAATATTACTACAATGTAACATACCTGTTTTCTTCTTTAATATATTTTAAAATGTAATTTATTCCTGTGATGCAAAGCTGAATTTTCAGCAGCCGTT